ATGAAGGTCTTCCAGGTTTGCATGTTGAGCACACTGCTTTATGGAAGTGAGTCGTGGGCAACTTACAACCGCCATGAGCAATGCCTGAGCACCTTCCACATGCGCTGCATCAGGAAGACTTTGGGTACCACGTGGCAGGACGGAATTTCAAACAAAGATGTGCTTTCCCAAGCCCATATTCCCAGCATGTTTGCACTCCCATCTCAGTGATGTCCACACAGCCATGTCCATGTCCACTGAATGGAAGATGGCAGGATCCCCAAGGAAGTGCTCTACTGAGAGGTGGCTTCAGGCACAGACCAACTTTGTTACAAGGATGTCTCCAAACATGACATGAAGTCTAAGAAATATCAAACCCTGCTGTGTGAGAATCCCTTGCAGATTACTGCGGTGTCTGGACACAGACAGTCAGGCCATGTATCCACAGCAGTGCCCAGAGGAGGAATGACTGCTGAGAGGAGAAACACCATGGTGTATCTGCAGCACCACAATTGGATGCCTTCATCTGCCCCAGCTGCAACAAAACATGTCTTGGTCTCTATAGCCACAGTAGGCTCTGTAACTCTGCAACTCCTCCATTGTCTCCCAAGACAGACTGATGCCAAGAAACAAAAACTGTCACTTTCCCAACATCCCTTCCACTTCTTGGTATTTACTGTTTCAGATCCTTTTGCACTTAAACCACCTGCATTACTGAATATGTAAGCTACTACTTCAAGATAAGCATCGTTTATTTTGAGTTCTTTGTTTAACAAGCTGGTTAACTTTTCCACTGTGATTTCATCCTCTCCTTTCAGTTCCTCTGCAATTTCTGTCTTATCCTGTGCTATCAGAGACAGAGATCTCTTTGTATTGCTGACATCCCAGCAGATGTCTGCGTCTGACCTTAGTGTTCTTAGTACCTGCCAGCATTTCCTTCTCGCTTGATTAATCCCCCATAACCTTGACAATTATCTAAGCCAGTTGCTGCACCAAACAGAAAAAGACAGTGGACACAATCCACCTGCACTCTTTCCATTCGGTGCCTGGAGGCAGAGGATTCTAGGACTTGTGCACAAAGAACTGCCATCCATATCCTTTAAGTTGTGGAACTCCTCCCCTGCAAAATAAATCTGCAACTGTTAAGTCAATTCAATTCAGTCTCCTTTATTGACATAGAAACTGTTAAGACTACAAAGAGGTGAGAAGCTATTTTAGGCTGTCTTGCCATTAGATCTTGCCAAACTTCAGATGAGAAGTGAGATCAGGTCCTTTTCTTGCACAAACTCACCATCAGTATATTTGGAATAAGATTTAGGGCAGGGATGGGAAACTTACGCCCTTCCAGATGTTGCTGGACTCCCGTCCTCAACATCCCTTATCATTGACTGATGAGAGTTAGAATTCAGCAGCGTCTGGAGGGCCACAACTTTCCCATCCTGTTTTAGAACAATAAAGGTTGTGTGAAAATCATACATTTAAAGCATACAACTTGCCCATAGAATCCTGGAAACTCTAGTTTACCCCCTCAGAGAACTACAGTTCCCAGCACTCTTAGAAGTCTGCAATTCCCAGGATTCTTTGGGGAAAGTTGTAAGCTTTAAATGTTGGGTGTCCAAACAGCCTAAAATTGATCAGAGGAGGAAGGCACATGTGATCTTGAGTGTTGCCAGGCAGGACAAATTTGCCTTTGCTCTGCACTTCAGAACTACCTTTGTGGCAGGTCTGGATGTCCTTTACAACACGGGTATAGTATTTCAGGCAGAATTTAATACCTAATATCTGATTTGACTTCTAAAATTGATGGCCAATTAATTGTATTGAATACCTGAATTTAGTTGCTAGTCTGCTCCATACTACTTTGTGTTTCATATATTTTACTGTTTTATCATTTGTATTTGATATGTGATATATTTCATATTTCTTGCTCATACTGAAGTAGATATCCAAGATATCCATTATTTATTTGCAGTATCTTGAGCAAACTTACTTTTGGCTTGCTTGTCTAGAATGATTTATTAAGATACTATACCTTATTTTGTTGTCTTGGAGCATACCATTCTTAGTGCTCTTCCATATTTCAGCTAATATTACAATGCTTGACATTTGTAAAGAAAAAAACTCATAAAAAACAGAAGCGTCCATTTTTCAATTCCAAATGCATGTCACCAAGAGGAGGAAATGCAGCATGTTTGAATGACGTTAGAATGCGCCACACAGCTGGGTCATTGTTCGTTTTTGTGTTTCCTTAATACTTGACATTTTGATTGCCCTATCTTCTTCCTTTACCTTATCGTCATTTCTTTTCTTCTTGGGTTGCTGTTTTTTAAATGTTAGATTGCTGGGAGTCCAATAAGCTGCCGCTTCTCTCCTGATATCTTGAGAACATGTTCAGAAGAATCGAAGTTAGCAATGTCTACTATAGCAAAAACACAAATATCCACTCCCTCACAACACTAGAAACATGTGCAAAAAAACTGGACTATTAATATTCATTCAGATGGGGATGTGCTACCATTGTGGGCTTCTGGTGAGCATGCGGTTACAGTTCCTTTCACTCCAAGAAGCCTCCATTGGCTGCCACGTTCTTTGATTCATCATCATCGTACAAGCAAGTCATACATCCTGCAGCCCATTGCTTGCAAGTGATACAATCCTCTTCCCATCAGTGGCTCTTCAAATTATTGTAAGGGGAAAAATTGTTTCAACAGCAGTCAACTCACAGTAGGTCATTGGTGGCAGAACGTGATTCTCCCATCACCCATTAGCACCTACATTGCTGTTGCTAGAATGTATGACTATGCAACTGCCACAGGAACATTTTTAATGCAACTTGTGATAAGTTTTTAGTGTGTTTGTACTGTGATGCAATTGGTTCTATGCTGCCCTGAAATTCTAAATAGGTTATAGAGCAGTATATGCTTTGAATGAGATACAAGAAGAAAGATTTGTTGTGTAATTTTGGCCTCTCTTAACTTCAAAACCTTTTTAAGGATGCAAACTCCTCTATATGATTGCTTTTCATAGGACCATTATATATTTTCTCTGTGTTCGTTTTTAGTTTGCAGAAGGCTCTGGGTCTGCATATATAGGAGTAGAGAAAATGTTTTTGAGGCCCTCACCTCCTTTTAGATATCATCTCTATTTCACATTATATTATTAATGTGTCACAGTCCTTCGGTTAAGCTGTCCTGTTGCAAACCGGGTGCTGATAGTGGCATTATGAGTCCAGAGTGAAGTAAACTATAGAAGAATATGTTTAATGTCAGCGCAGGCAACAGAGCCAAGAGATGAATTGAATTTCTTTCTGATGAATCTTATGGATCAGCAGATTTATTCAGAGTTATTTAAAAAGCAGTTAACATTCCATTAGCAACAAACTGTGATCTGTGTCAGCAATAAGACACTGTTCAGTCATTTATTTTAGAGCAAGAAGTCACTGCAGGGAGAAATACCATTATTAAATATCTAGCAGGCAGATAAACACCCTGGATGTGCCTTGATATTTATCTTTTTTATTATAAATATTAGATTTACCTGTTAGAGTCCTATTGAAATATTTTGATTTTAACTATTTTTCTTGCTCATTTCAGACCAAGGAAGCCAGCAAATGACATTCTTATTTTTTACCCTTCAGATTTGCAATTAAAATATACTGCTTAAACTGTGGGTAAAATAGCATTTACAGAGTTCTTTTAATGTGGTTTTATGGTGCTAGTCATGCTAACCCAGTACCACCTTTCTTCCAATCTATACTGGATGATCCAAAAGACCGCACTTAGAATAACCCCTTCTTCCCCAAAATAGAAGTTAAGGGAAGAGATCTGGGTAGTTATGCCCAGGGTAGGTTCTTCGGTGTTAATTATGGCAGGGTGAGTCTTGGGATAGCCACATAATTGCACCAGTGGAGTAGGTGCAAGTGTGGTAGTCATAGAGGGTTGTGCAGCAACAGCGGAAGCAGAAAGTGTTAGGGCACAGATGAAAACTCCTGGGGAGGTCTGTGTGAAACAAATCCATCATTAGCAGAGCATCAGTAAAATTTATAGGGATGTGCTAGAATATCTGGGTGGAGAAAGAGGAAGGGTGTGGTCTAAATTAAATGGGTCAACCGCCTTGTACAATCCAGGTTTCTCCACTGAGAACTTGTTCTTTTAGGGCCAATCATGAAATACAGCCACAATGTCGTGAGGATTTTGGCACAATACTCCCCCCCCCCGGACACATGCACACTCTGGAGCCTCCCTCACGCTACCAATTCTTCCTGGAATGACAGGGTTTAGCACTGCTGTTGTCCTGCTTCCTGCGGAGGTCATATGCAAAGAATGAGTGCATCTAAGTCCTAGAGAAAACCCCAATGTCAACATATCCTAAAGCTTCAGATCACAGCATTGCTGATCTAGGCTATTAGGATTGCTAGGTAGGGACATAATCCATACATCACTGCACCCACATAATGCCCATTCATTTTATCTCACTGTAAGAAAGTGCCACTTGTTGAATGCTCTAATGTATGTTGCAGGCTGACCCAGATCCCTGCGGTCTTCACGACCGAATGAATTTAAGTGTGTCTTACAGCATCTTCCCCCACTTCTCTGCCAAGGATAGCTCAGCCAGAATTCCACAGTTCTTGTGCTACTGATATAATTTCACTGTACTCTTGCCAACGAAGCTGACACAGCAGAGACAGTAAATCAGTAGCTCCTACCAGTTCCACACCATCAATATTATAAATGCATCCTGCGGGGCAGGCATTACCAAGCGCCCTTGCTGTTTGCAATGCTCGAAACAATTTTTAAAATTTGTAGTTCTTAGTTTACAGAAAGTCAAAAAGGATACAAGTAGGAAGCAACAAAAAGTATTTTTAAAAACCACCTGTATTGAACTAGTATTAATAAAATTGCATTAGTATTCAATGCGGCACATGCATTGGTTAATTAAATGACTTTGATTCTGGGAAGCCCCTAACCAAGTGCTTAATTAACTTCAGTAATACCAATAGTAGATTGCAATAGTACCCTATACTTGGGGGGGGGGCTTGGTTTTTCTATTATGGCTATCCTAAAAATGACGCAGTGGTATTCCAATGTTAGGACATTGCAGATCCTGCAGTATTTTTATGCTAATATGCTATTACCACTTGATCAGGGAAACTCAGCAAAAATTCCCAACACATTCTCCCAAGTAGGTAAAACAAACTCTACACTGAGTTGCTCACTAGAATTGTTACAAAATTTATTGTTTTACAATTCACTATGTATAAAGTATTTAGTCTGAGTAAATACAACTCTTGTAAAAAATAAAAAATATATATAAAATGAGGGCATTATGCTTTATTTTGCTCTTAAAACGAGAGGTGCTCCTTTAATGGTGGAGGACACGCCGGTGGATAACAGCTTCATATTTTCCCGTACAAAGTTGCGTTGTTGCACAGTAGCTGATCTGACATAGGTATTCCTGCAGTCAACTTTTGCTGATGAACTTGGTGGTACAGTTTGTGGGGGCAGGCCGTTGATCTCATACATCCATTGCATTGCTGTGGTCTGAAAGCACCAAAGAGAAATTTCACTAGAAATGAGTTCATAGTCTATTACTGTGAAGCAGACAACAGCTATCTGCCACAATGTGTGTAATTAGGTCATTTATTGTTCCCAGCATAGGGGGTGCCTCAAAAAGCCACATTACCGGAACTGCACCATGGTGCAAAAAAACATTACCATGCAATAATAAAGCAAGGCAGAACATTTCGTTTTATGAACTAAGAGCAGACTGTTAGAAATATGTATACTGTCTAACGCCCTAGGTAATCAAAACTCTTGTTAATGCTCAACAGTTTGAGATGCAGCTTCTGAGGGAATTAATTCACAGCAGGAAGTAAGCAGAAATAATAAATGGGCTGCTGGCTTTATTTGTACCCCAGGGATTAATGGGGTGCTTGAAATAAACAGCATCAACTTCTAGCATCTTTGTTTGGGTCAAGTGAGTCATCTCACACTATGGGTAGGAAAGGCAACTCAGAATTCCGCACTGTAAATTCTGTACATGGACGGAGTGTGATATGGATACTACAGCAACCAAGAACAAAAGTCATTTTCAGGTACCTTCTTTATAGCAGAGCTGACCTATTTCACTAGAAGGAGATATCTAGCCACAGAAAGGATATTTTATAAGCGTTTATTTTAGAGAAGAAACCCTTAAGTCCATGAGCTTACTACAGTAAAGTCCCCTATCAGGAATCCCATTGTCAGGGCTCACCTGTATTACTAATGTTGCTGTGTGTTTCTTGCTGTACATATTAGGCTTGAATCCAACAGTGATCCAGGTTCCTGTTGAGTCAAGTGGAAGAAGTTCCCCAGCTTGAGGCGATACAGCAAATTCTGGATCGCTGCCTGTTAGGAAGTATGCCGTGTAAGGCTCTGGGTACCTAAGTGAAGAGCATTCAAAATATATCATACAACATTTATCACCATGCAACGGTAGTCCTAAATAATTGGTATTCTGCTACAGGAGATCAGCAATGAAACATTAATGGTGCCTTATAGCTGTGCTTCCTGCTGTTCAACTTCTTACATATACTGCTTTTCTTAGCCTGCCTATTGGAGAGACTTTCTGAAATGCTTGCACATATATATATATAAAACTAACATGGTTTTTTCATGTAAGTTTATCCTCCTTACTGCAGGCATTCATCTAACTAGTGGTTTCCTCCTTACTTGGACAGAAGGAGGCAAATGTGTTCCATTCAATCTACCACACTTCTTTCAAGGAATCTGGGAATCTTCCAAAGTAAGGAGAAGCTGCAAGAAAGCTGCACACACACACACACACACACACACACACACACTTACCGTAGTAACAGCAGCTTCCAGAATCTAAAACACAATTGGTTAGGAAAATCATTGACCTAATAAGTCCTAACTTAAAAAACAAACAAGCCCTACTGGAAAGGTCATTTGGCCACCATATAAGAGGCCAGTCAGTAAGAGCTCAGAACCTTGCATTCCAGGAAATGTTGCTGACATCCTTCCTGTAGGATAGGGCAGAGTTGTGCCTGGGAATAAGCTGGAGAAATGAGAAAATGCAATTCTCCATTCACCACCTCTCTCTGCAGGTTCCAGGGCAGTAACGGATCAAACCAAAACATCAAAAAGGAAATGAAGGCCAACGTCACCCAGATTAGTGTTGTAGCACATCATGAGCCTAAGGGTACTTCTAGTGATAGTAATAAAATAGTAATAAAATACTGGATTGCTCAGTAACCAGAGAAAAATTGCCCAACTTGCCTTTAGGGAATAAATAAAAACACTGACCCTAAAAGAGTGGGTAGACATGCTAGAACAGGCTTCCTCAACCTCAACCCTCCAGATGTTTTGAGACTACAATTTCCAATATCCCTGACCACTGGTCCTGCTAGCTAGGGATCGTGGGAGTTGTAGGCCAAAAACCTCTGGAGGGCTGAGGTTGAGGAAGCCTGTGCTAGAACATGTTGTTGCTGCTTTCAGTTCCTGTTACTGCAGACCAGACTTACTATATAAAAAACATCCCCACATGGATTAGGGAATGGTCTATACCCTGCAAATAGTTTTTGCTTCCAAAATTTGTAAATCCAGCACAAGCCCACTATTTCATGGCACTGATAGTACACAGCTAAAGACAGCCCTCATCCTAAAGACCCATATGTATTCTTAATTGAGCCAGTGCTTATTTTGTAGCAGTTTTTGATTATTACAACTAAAGTAATCTTGGCTCTTGAAGCAATTTATGATTGCAAAGTAATTCTCTGCAAAATAATAATAATAATCCCCAAATATTATTTTTAGGCCCTCTACATTATTCATGCATCTGTGGATGTGTTTTCACGTTTATTAGATTATACCCAATCATATTAATAAGTTTCTAAAGAACATGTCGCAAAGGTAAACTGTGTCACTTGGTATTTCAAAGCGAATATTGCACTGATTGCCGTATTTTCCTTCTGTACACAGCGATTTTTTATATAAACAATGCAATCTCTAACTCAAAATGTGGTTCCCAACAAAAGCAAGGTTTCTTCAGGTGTTCTGTGTTTAATTAACACATAAGGGGGACCACGGGAGGGGGGGGAGCATCCTAACTCTGCTTTCTCATTCCCACCCCCCACTCCATAAATCGGAGGGTAACTTCAACAGGGGGTCTTCTTTACTAGTGGAGGCTCCCTGTGTGATTTAAAATCCTGGAACATCAAGATGTGGGAATCTTCTATGAGCTGAAAAGGCTCCCTGCCGCAGAGGCTATCCATGCAACTCATGGAGGGCAAGGGGGGGGGAGTTAGTGTGCTTGTCTTCCCCCTCCCCTTGCATGTTGATTAAACATAGAAGTAGGATGACTGAACAGGACAATTTGATCCAGGTCCACAGAAATAAAAAAGTAAGTACATGATATGGGCAAAGCCATTTAATTTGTCAGATAAATAATAAATTAATTTTTCAATTCCACAAATCCCTTCTTTTTATGTATATAAAAAGCTTTTTGAGGAGCAAGATTTATTAAAGGTTAAGAATGGACTTTTTGAAAAACGCAATTGGGTATTGTTTGAAATGCACATTTCAAGGTAGTCTTATTATCACGAGATAATGTACAGTGGTAAAGTTTAATATGACAAGCGCAAGATAGTTGATAGGCACTTTTCAAGAAAATGATGACATAACTACAGGAGTATAAAGGGCCCATCATTTATCATCATTGATTGCATTATGTACCTGTCCAAGAGAAAATTTGCTTTAATCAATCACTCTGGGGCATGAAGTTTAGACAACGAAAGAGATTTCAGCTCTATGGATGACCCACTGCACTTTTGGAGAGAAAGCTCAAAACCCCTTAATGAAATAAAGGTTGGTTACACTGTTAGGTAACCCAGCCAGGGGCCAATATTACCTTGGTGCCTCCATAGCGCCATTTTCCAATAAGAGATTTTAAGTATTTTTCAGTATCAAGGAAATCTTGCTACGCATATGAGTAACATTTTGCTCACAGCAGGTTTATATTACCCACTACACTTATATACCCCACACGCCATGCTCTTCACTAGGGACTTGATTCTTTTCTTACTTTCCCTACTTCTTCATAAAATCTGGCAGAGACCTGATATATGTGTATGTATGTATGTATGTATGTATGCCCACTGAACAGCTGCTAAGGTTTGGGGTGTCTATTTCTGTCAATGTTCTCATTTAGACAGTGAAAACATATACAGTGGTACCTCAGGTTACAGACACTTCAGGTTACAGACTCCGCTAACCCAGAAATAGTACCTTGGGTTGAGAACTTTGTCCCAGGATGAGAACAGAAATCATGTGCGGGCAGTGCAGCGGCAGTGGGAGCCCATTAGCAAAAGGTTAGGTTAAGAACGGTTTCAGGTTAAGAACAGACCTCCAGAACGAATTAAGGACTTAACCCGAGGTACCACTGTATGTGTCTTTTTGTATATAGTTTTCAACATGATAAAAGCTTACTATATTTATCATTAGTATGATCCCATGACTCATTTCTTTTTGACTTTTGAAATAAATGGCCAACCAGCAATCATGGCACACCTAGTTATGGTTGGGGTAGGAAATAAGTGCTGCTTTTCCCAGTGAGACTTGCCACACTTCAATTACATTGTCTTGTGCTTATAGTACAGCACCATGGCGCTTCAACTATTACTTTCTGGTGAGTGGGTATAAATATTACAATCATCAGACCCAGTGCTAATTTTCTAGGGGGTGAAAGGTGCAGGAACTCACCATGAACACCTCCCTCATTCTCTTAGAGTGGCAATGGTGCCTACCTGAGAGGTGCCAGAAGTGAGTTCTGGCTGAAAAAAAGCCCTAATCACATCTAAGGAAAACAGGGAAGCCTGAGCTTCCCTGAGACTTTCAGGATTTTAAAAGTATCGGGAATTCCACATTCTGGCAATTCTTCGTCTGATAGCAAGCCTAAGGAATTAAGCTTCTCCTGGTAGCACTATAAAAATGCTTGTTCAGCAAAACCGGGGGGGATGACAACCAGAGTAATGAATAATATGAAGTATTAGTTTCCTGGGACAAATGCAGTTTGTGTCCTATTTGTTAAATGACATTTTACCCCAGTCACCCTTATCTGCCCCATGCATGCTGTCATGTTTGTTTGTTTGTTTGTTTGTTTGTTTGTTTGTTTGTTTAATACGGTATATCCCACCTTTCTCTCAGAAGACCCTAGGACAGCATATGATGTCTAGTAAAGCCACGGGTGCAAAGGAAAAGGTAAGGGGTTTGATGATGAAGAAGAAGAAGAAGAAGAAGAAGAGTTTGGATTTGATATCCCGCCTTTCACTCCCTTTAAGGAGTCTCAAAGTGGCTAACATTCTCCTTTTCCTTCCTCCCCCACAACAAACACTCTGTGAGGTGAGTGGGGCTGAGAGACTTCAAAGAAGTGTGACTGGCCCAAGGTCACCCAGCAGCTGCATGTGGAGGAGCGGAGACACGAACCCAGTTCCCCAGATTACGTGACTACCGCTCTTAACCACTACACCACACTGGCTCTTGATGCACACTGTTGACTGTTCCTTGGCAAGTGGGGCTTGCATTCCATGCATTTTAAATTGGGCACAAACTGGAAGACCTGCTGGGATTGTTTTCACTCAGTCTAAGCTCTTGAGTGCAGTTGATCCCTGCCAAGAGTGGGCCTTGCAGTTGGTGCTGAATTTAAGCCCCACTTTTGGCAATAATCCTTGCAACCATAACTTGAATACAAGTGGGGCTGAGAGGAAAAAATCAGTAGCATGCTTTGAGTGCACTACTGACTCTTCCTGTGAAGTCTCAATCACCTGACATCTAATAATAATAATAATAATAATTTATTATTTCTACCCCGCTGATCTGGCTGGGTTTCCCATGATGTTCTATGATGGATGGCTGCTCACATCTGCCAAAAGTGGGATGCAGAGGGTGGACCAGATATGGGCAGATCCAGTTCTTTATCCCTGTCCTATATAAAAGCATTCAAAGTAGTACTAATTGCCACTATCTTGAAAGTAATGTACCCCACAATTTAGATCTGTGATGTGTAAAATATGGGTATTTGGCCTGCAGATTAAAAACACTTCCAAGGATATTTCAACGTTTAGTGAAAGATAAAACATTTAAAAACATACTAACAGAACTATATTAAACATTTTTTACTCAAAGTGTGATTTGCTGAGTTCAGTTACAATATGCTTAGGACTGTGCATGCTGCTATTGATGTTCTGGCATCAATATTTTTTTCTACATTCTTTTCCTAACGAATAGAAGTCTAACAGTACCATTCATTTTCATAGCACTCTCCTACTGTAGTCCGGCAAGTGAGGCCTTCTAGCTCATAAGGCCCACACCTCCCACACCTGAATGAGAGTCATTTTCAAAGAAGAAAGGCATGCCAGGTTGCTGTTATTTTAAACAGTGGCTTCAAATATTCATCCAATCCTTCATTACTAAGCTAGAAACCTTATGACCTTCCTGTACTTTAAAGTTCTAGATATGAGGTCAACAGGGCCAGAATTCTTTCCCTGTGTAACAAATGCAGGTTTTTCCTATTCCTCAGAAGATGATGAAGAAACATATGAAGAAGGGCGCTCATCAAGGGAATTGTCAGCATAACAAACTACATTCTTTGCTAGAGAATAGAAAGAATGGGGAAAACAGGGGCGGAGAAGAATATTTTCCAAGTGTAATAAAGGCTGTTCTATGGTTTCTCTGACATGAATAGGCTGCATCAAGCTTGCATCATGGATCCTCTTTCTATATAACTATAATGATTCAGACTTTATTATACCTTTTCCTGGAACATTAGATCTCTTCACTGCTATCAAACACCTACCAGCAGATTACAGCATTGCCAATGCAATTACTTCAACTTTTGTGCTCAGAAACAGCCTGTTCTATTGAACCTGATAGCTTCACCATTGTGACAGAAAGCACTGCCATATTTTGAAGGGTCCTCTCCGCTGACAGCCATGAGAGATAGCTATAGCAACTGTCCATCTCAGGTACACAGACGCAAGAAGTGGGCTCTTTGCAGAAAATCAATAATGGCCAAGGACATCCTTTGAAAGTGAGGAAGTTAAGATTTCAACTCACACTCTCGCCTCTCTTCCAAACACTTAGCTGAACAGGCAATAAAAGCTAGATTTAGAAATTATGAAAACTTCCTTGTTCCCACTATTTAGAGATAGGCAAGCTTCCCAAAGCTTTCCTTAGATTACTTCAGAAATTACCTGAGTTCTTAAAAAAGAAAAAGAAAAACAGAATTTAGGTTCAATCCAAGGGCTGATAAGAAATACTCTGTCCTTTTCCCCACCTCCATTCCCTTCTGTGGAGGTGTATTTGGCCTGCAGATCATGGTGTAATTTGGCCCTTTCCCCATGTTTTCATTCCCATAGTGTTTTTTCTTCATTCACAGAGGCAGGCCCACTGAGAGATGGGTATAGGTGGTACCGGGCCCAATGTCAGAATGGGTCTACCATATGGAGCAGCAACTGTGTTACTTGCCAGCAGATCCACAAGGAAGACCATTTGCAGTGCTTCAGCCGCTGGAAAGCACATGAGCAGAAGAAAGTAGCAAGAGAGGGTGGAGCAAGGAGGCAGAGGAGCACCAAAACTGGCCACTTTCACCTCCCGGTAAGAGCTGCTCAAGCAGGAGCCAGCCAGCAGAGGGAAGCAAGAAGGCCTGCCCTGTGGCAGCAGGAAGCAGCAATTACATCATGCTTGCAGGCATCTGTGGCTATACCTTCCATACACTGTATGTCCCCACCCAGAGAAGGACTCCCCAGGGCTACTGTCTAAGGGTGTGGTTGTGGCACACACCGGCACTGCCGCCGCCTCCTCCTCACCATTTCTCTGCTTTTAAGGTGTTTGCTGCCACTGGGAGCAAGCAGGAAAAGCAAAAGGAGCATTGACTCACCAGGAAAACAGTTTGAGGAGGGCAGGGCTACCATGAGATATTTTCCTCTTGTGTGTTCTCTTTTGTTTGTTTCAATCAGGGTTGGCAAATTATTTATTGTTCTAAAATGCCTGGGCTGTGTGATCTTGCAGTTATAGCATGGAGCGGTGTGCGTGCACTTTCCAGGTGTTTTACTGGCTTATTTATTGTTATTCATGCTTTCATACTGTATTTTATGCTGCTTCTATGTGGTATTACAATTAAGAGTTTTAAATTTGTTGTTAGCCTCCCGGAACCCAGTTTTCTGAACTGGGAAGGGTGGTGTATAAATAAAAAAATATTTATTTATTTATTATTATTATTATTATTATTATTATTATTATTATTATTATTTCTCAACGTGGTGAGCAAATGTCATACTGTAGCTTCCTTTTCCTCTACTAAGAAAGGCTCAAAGCTGTGTACGTGGCCTTCCCCTTCACCCCTTTTTATCTTCACAACAATACTGTGAGGTAGATGATTCAGCTGCCAAAGTTGTGAAAGTGCACACATTTATTTATTTTTGCATGTCATTCTTGACCTGGGTTGGCAAGCTTTCCTCCCCCTGTTTTTCTTGTTTTGCTTTAAAGTATCAGCACTGTGGAATGTAACAGTTAAAGGAATGTGGGGGGCTGTTTTCTTTGTTCATGTTTACTCCTCCTAAGAGCTCAAGGCTTTGTGCATTGTCCCCCCCCTCCTTTTTATCTTCAGAACAACCCTGAGACATAGAATTAGACTGAGATAATATATGTATGTAAGCAGCAGTGCTTGCCAGTAGATTGCAAGGGGTAAGAATGCAGGAAGACCCGAATCCACATACAATGTTCTGGACCCAGGAAAGCACGTTGACAATCCTGGCCATAGAAACGAATGGAACCATCAAATCTTATGGGCAGAGAAGGAAAACTACTCCATTAGTTCCTATTAGAGTAGGAAAAAAGATATGTGGGGCAAAACATGACGCAAGAGGGAGGAGCTATTGCTACAGTTCCAACCCCATCCCAGATTTTGCTCCGTGCACTTCTTAAAATCAAGCCCTGTGCAATGTAACGGAGTGGCGTAGCTCCATTATATTACATAGACCTAATTTTAAGAAGCTGGTGAGGGCTCTGGTTTTGGGTTTCAAAGCTCTCATGATCCCTGGCTGACAAGGACTTTGCCGAGTCAGTGGAAAGAATTGGACAGCCAAGGCATTGTTTTGTTTGGGCTTCAAATCCTAGTCGGAGAAGAATCTGGGAGTTTTAAAACATCACCATGTTTTTGAGGCAGGGTTTTATAGGCTTTTGAAATTCTCCCTCTCCAGAATCCTTATAAATGTATTATGCTGCAAACTTATTTATCTTCTGTTTATTGAATTAAATCCCACTCTTCCATTGGAAGACAATGTGGTCTCTCATGTATATACTGTTATGAGTCTGGGGTGTTAAGATGGTGTCAGACCCCTGGATCGAGCAAGTGTTAATATCCAATCAAGCCAAACTAGCTTCCTGTGAAGTGGTAGCCTGGGTGATGAGTCATTAAGGGGAATTAAGGGGCAACTGACAGATAGGGAGTTGAACTGGGGCGGTTATGTGAGTGAGAAGCTGGAGGCAAAAGCAGCAGGTTTGAAAAGGCAGAGAGAGCGCCTGACTGATTTCTGCAGGGATCCAAGGCTTTGGCTGTGGAGCAAGACCCTCTTGGGGTGCTGATGCTGTGAACCCCTCCATCACAGGCTCAGGTTGTAGATAGGTGTAAATAAACCATATGTCAGAATGACACCAAAGTCTGCACTGTGCCTCATTTATAAAAGGGAACATGAACCCTCAATGAGTACCTGGAACCCTGGAATCTCGTGCTACTCAGAGCTGGAGGTGGCCTGCAACAAACCTTTCCCAGCTTTGCATTGTACTTTTACATATAACATAATCCTGTGCATTTACCACTAATTATTAACATTCTAAGATACCATTGGAAATGCTGTAAGAACAGTCTGCTATCGAGTCCTTGCTTAATGACTAGATTTCATCTTTGTTTCCATTATTTCCTAGTTAATACAACATACACACGTTGATACAAAATGGAGCCCGGGGAGAGAGGCCTTAATTTACTCTCAGTAATTTGCCCTGATTCACTTCCTGGTAGATGATATCATTATCTTACTATGTAACATTTTCAATTAACCAGAATTTTTGTTTGGTACGTTTTGTTTAGTAATTGTTTTTTTGATTCATACATTCATTCATTCATTTTTGTTAGGGCAAGGCAGAGCTAGGGCAGTGCCTGAAACTTGCTGCAAGAAACAAATGCAAACCCCAAAATGCTCTAGGTACAAGGAACACCATCATTGTAGACAGAACATCTTTGGACAATATATTTATTTTTTATGCCACATGATTACACAGGAATAATAATAGCCTGATGATGATGATGATAGTTATATCCCCATAATGATCCAGGAAAGTTATTCACCTGAAACAATTTCTATTGGTGTGTTTGTGTATGGGATTCCTCAGTTATTTTTATGGTCCCACAGCCTCAATAAACGTTAACCTGTTTAGGCACCACATTCTTAGTATAGCATTATTTCCAAATATACCCTGATCTACTTGCTCATTGGGATTTATTTATTTTTTTGGTGGGGGGGAGGAATCTGGTATCAGTCTTATTGACTAGTTGCACATTGTCCTTAAATAAGCTGAATCCCATTGGATGCTACATTTCATCCTTGAAAAAGACCTTTAGATATTCTTACCTTGTTTGGCTTGTAAGCTTAAATTTAACTACCGATTCCTTGTTTAAGCCAGCTGCCTCAATATTGATGACATCATCCACTTCTGGTTCAGTGGCAACAAACAGTATTGGAAACTTCCAAATGCCTCCCGTGACACACTGTACCACCAACATTGCCGGATGCCTTCAAAATTAAGTTTAAAATATTCATTATAATAGAAGGCATAATGCAACGTAAGTGAAATAAATCAATGTCCAAGGTGCACTTATATTCTTGCAGACCTGTAATGCATTACACAGCTGGTCATAAATTGGATTGCAGATATTATTTTTATGCAGGATAGTATATCCAATCTTACTTTGGAAAGGGCTGTCAGTTAAATATCACATTATTTTCCCCATCTGTTTCTGTAAAGAATGAAGAACCAAACTAATTGGTGCAGTCTAATTCACCTTACGCTTACATTTCAGTAGCAGTCTTGATTTCTGCAAGGTGACACCTTGATTTATCATGTTGCTGAAAAGGAGAACTGTTTACAGTATGGCAACAGTATGACAGCTCAGTAATTGAGATGTAATTTAAGTTCTAGTTTCCAAAGAAATGTAAAATTCTGTCATTAAAGTCAATGACAACTCCCACAGACTTCACTGGAGATGGAATTTTATTCCTAAAGAAGCTGCAGCTTAAAAAGAATTATTATTCTCTCCACCCACCCCAGAACTGCTGTAACTATTTAACGTGTTCTTCCGATATAGTTAATCTTGACAACAATAAAATATACTGTGGGACAAAGGATGAGTGACAATGAGCTGTCCAACACCATCCAATAAATTCCACAGAGAAGTAGAATCGGATTCCATGTATCTCAATCAAACGTTATCCAAAAGCCCCTAGATTTATTTTCTGCACTATTCTTCACTCTCCTATAATGATGCAGGATGAGACACCATTTGGTGTTTCACATAATGAGAAGTAGTGCATTTTCAGAACAATTCAACTCTTCTTAGATTGACACTCATTGCCCAGCTAGAGCCAATGATATAAAAATGGCCAGAATTGGTCATTTTCAAAAGAAAAGCAGGAAGGAAATTTGGAAGGAACAGAATGTATTTACTCCTTGCTGTTGATACAGTGCTCTGTATGAACCCCAGGGCATATGACACTTATGCAAGCAAGCTTCTGTGGTCACTTTAAGAGATGGCACAGTTCCAACATGTTTTTGCATCACATGAATGCAGACGTTTTTATGGATCTCCATGTAGAAATTCAGATTCCTGCATCAGAATGAATTGTTGAACTAGAAACACAGCTTCAGAAATCAGGATAGCAACTGTTGTTTTTTATAAGGTTCTATGCCATCACTCCACAGAAAAAAACCTGATTGTAAATTGTACATCATATTTCAGTATGCATGTTGGTCTCCAAGGTGCTACTTGACAATTTTAAATTTTATTTATTTATTTCGAGAATGTGGGGGTTAGGCTAGCATATTCTGTCTCTCCATGTGACCACAGTTGCATGAAAGGAAGCACATGAAAAGATCTATTGAATGCACAGGAATAGTGGTAGCCAGTATTTACAGGCCCCTTGGGTGTCTGTGATGCATAAGAGAATTATCACCATCCCCTAGGCACACAGGAAAAAGCATTTCTAGTCCTATGTAATTAACAGACATACATGCCATATTTGGCTATAGATATGAATCAAACATCCAGACCTAAATAAGCCTGAAGAAACAACAACAGAAAGGGGTTTCAAGGGAAAGAAAGGAGGCCCTTGTATCAGACCTAGAGAAATCACAATTGGGCACTGTACCTCATTGGTTTGCTAGGTGCAAATATGATATTGAAGATCAAGGTCACAATTCTAGTTTTCAGATCCCGAAATTTCTTCAGCAAGTTTATAGCTACTGCAGACTTCAGCTGAGATGCCACTCTATCAGATTCAAACTCAATATCATACACAAATTCTTCTTGGGTAGAGATTCCTAAAAAGAGAGAGAGAAAATAAGAACATAGCATTGTACATGTAGTATCAATAAAATTGGGTTTCAAAGAGGAGAGGCTTGCTGTTTTGGAAAAGGTTTGATACCAAAAATGAATGCTTTTTACAGTCCGTCTGTCCCCCAGCCACAATATCATCCTTTGCCCTCTTAGAAAGTAAACTGTGTGTATATATATTGTCTGCAAATTGTTTCCCCCACAGTCTGGCTGCTGGATACATTATATACAAGGTGATAAAATAGCAACTATTAATCATGTACTAATACCATAATATAAACAATATACATCCTCATTAACGGTCAGGGCACAGCACAGCACCTAGCTTCTTGTCTGTGATGTATTGAAAGGCAGACACCAGTACTGTGAAAACATAGTTGGCCATATTAGAACCTTTCAGCTCTATGTGCTATCTAATTTAATGGGCTATGGTCAATTACAGATGACTGTAAACCTGAGTTTCTGAATAATAAGCAATTTAAGAAGTTACCTATGTATACCTGAGGATACAGGAGGGAATGGATAAAAGCACCTCGAGTGCAGCAATGTGCTCTGAGGCACCACAACTTTATATGCTGATGTGAGTTCAAAAGTTACCTAGGCCTTGTCCAGTTTGAATAGCTAGCGCCAGAGAAATGGTGCGGTGCAGTGATTTTAATCAATTTCTCACCGCTGCAGGTGTCTATCTCCTGAAAAGCTGGAGGGACTCTATGGAACAGCAAGGGAAGTGATGCGTGAGTCTGCAAGGGGAATGAGGAACTGGCAAAACTGCTGCCCAGTCCTCTTCCTCTTGTGAGGCGTTCCCACTGGATCATGGTTCTCTGCATGAATGAAAGGAGTTTTTCCACTTGTGGAAGAGCATGTCTGGATCCAAACAGCAAGTGCTTCACTATTGTACTTTGGTTAACATGGCACTAAAGTACAATGAATTATACAGTGCACTCAGGAAAAAAGACATAATTCTGTGGGTAGGCATATAGGATCTGCTGATTTGATCATGGTCTCCTCCTCTTGGGGATATATGCATGCTATGACATTAAGGTATGAAAACCATTTCTTGCCTTTGTTAAATTGATCCACTGCTAATTGTGATACTAAAGTGGGACATTCACAGTAGGACACAACTGAAGGCTCATAATTATTCCTCAGCAGAAAATGTCACCACACAGAGGCTCTAACATAAAAATGAACTTGGTGGGGGAGAGGAGGGATGACATCATTTGAAACCTACCACAGAGACAAAATTGCTACTGCTGAACAGATGTTTCCTTCAGCAATCAAATCACTGGATACTGCATAGTGAATGTTTATTGTATTGTTCACACCGTTCAGATATGAAGAAGATGGAGCTGCAGTTGGTAATTGTGTTGTACATTCTGTCAATGCACTTCTAAAAGGACTCTATTAGCTTTGCTTCCTCCATATGTATGTGGCACCTGCCGTCATTCACTAATAATACATATTTATTTATTTTTGCTGGGGGCTTTCTGTTTTATGAACTCTGCTGTGTCTCTGTTAAGCACTCTGAAAGTATTTTACAGCACCTGAGGAAAAACGTGTTTTGTAAGTACCAGTTGAAGGTATATAAAACTATTTCTCTTTGCCAGTCCCATTGCTGGTTGTGAATCTCCACTGCAAATCTAATTTAGGGCTGCTCAAAACAGAATAATGTAATTAGATTTTCAGTGAGAGCTGCAAACTCTAAAGACGACCATATCATCATGCCATAAAAACCCCTCTGTGAATATGTTAATATTTTAGTTTTAGTATCTAGACAGCTCCCAGACACACATGCTGCCTAAATACAGTGACAACTGCTAGAAGCAGAAAAGAAAAAAGACTATGTATCATCATCACAAAACTGTCTAAAGTTGTGCGATTAAAATCAAACGACGAAATTTCCAGATGCTCCTAAAAAGCTCACAGACTTGATGAAAATGATAACGCAACTTAGAAAATATTGGAGTCTTAAAAACACAATGTTACAAAATAGAAGATGAAGCAAGAATGAAGCTTCTAGTGTTTCTACCTACACACATTGAACAATAGGCAGTATTCAGCACACTCATTCAATAGGGCAAGGGTTTACAACTGCACAATGGAACTCCCACCTCCCCACTCCTGCCTTTGTGATCTGTTCTGGAAAGTTCAAGGAATATGGCGGAGGAGGAGAGAGGGGAAAGAAAGTTCCATTGCACAAGTATATGTAAGCTGATCCTGGAATTTTTATGGCTGAAAGGTGGGATTTAAATACTCTAAATAAATAAAGTGGTACCACCCAAAGGCAGGTTTACTGCCTCTACCAGCAGATGCTAACTCTGAGGCAATGACAGCTTACTCTGACTGCTTTTTTAGAGAAGGTATAATTTCACAATATTATTGTTCAAAAAGTTATATTAATAGGAATTATTGATGCAACATCATGTGTGAAAGTGATATGCTATAGGACATGGTAAATCCTGTACTTTTGTTAAAAGTATAAAAAATAAGCAGTGTAAGATCTGTTAATTTAGGAAAAAATTCAGAGAATCACATAAAGTGAGGTAAAGTAAAATCACAATAATAGAAGAATGAGAGAGGCAAGTCTCCTTCAGTGCACATAACCAGCCATGAGGTGTAGAGATCATTTTTCTATGTAATGAGCTGGATATTCATCAAGGGTTTCATACTTAGGGCTTCTCTTTGGCTGTCTTTAGAGAAATGATGGGAATAATTTATGGCTGTACTTTTGTCATATCTGCCTCACCAAGACAGATTCTAATTGTTTGCAAGGGCAACTTAAGTCTTTGTTGTCATGCTGCTGCTTCTTTCAGACAATGGATCATTCTTATGTGAATCATATTGTCATGAGGAGGAATGCACATCTGTCTACTAAGCAGCACTGATAAGGGCAGAGCTCTAGCTAGAGGAGTGAATCTTTCCATCAAAGGAGGGAGTCCTTCCATCATGGGATGCTAGCCTTTGGGTACAAAATAATGTTTTTAGGCTACTTCAAATGTGAATGTAGGGGTGATTCATGGAAATCCTATAGTTTTGGAAAAGATAATGTGGCGATCAATCCCAAAAGGGCTTAGGAGAAATGAAGTTGAAATTCCAACTGAGCACTTGTACAGAAATAAAAACTATTGGATAAAATGGCTACAATTTGCTCATGATTTGCCTGACTCAGTTATTATATGACTGTAGTGTTTTAGATTGATTGCAGAGAGGGTTGAACAGCTAACAAAAATGTTACTTCTCTTTGGGTGCAGCAGGATTTGGAAGAAGGAAGTGCTGCCAATATCTCTATTAAAGTTTCCAGGGTTTGTTTCAATAGCTTTGAATAGGAGGCGTCAAGAGATGGACAAACCTGAAAAAAGTTCAATTTGCAACTAATTCAGTATAATCCATTGAATTAATTTAGCCTGAAAGGTAATCCTGAGCACTGATGTGCGTCAGGGCCTAGGCGCCGCTTACTGTACTGAAGTATTCATGCTAAAAATGATAGTTGGAAAGACCCAGTTCCCAAAACGAATGCCACAGACATTAGAAAGACTTTTTTATACTCCTGAACAAACATTACGTATCCATGGCAAGCTGGGTATCATTGGCTATGCAGTTCCATTGAAGCCAAACTGCCTAGATGTGCCTTGCATCTGCTAAAGCATCAAAGGCACCATCTGTAGATACTTCAAAAAAACTGTGCTATGAAGCACTCCTAAAATCTAGCATTTGCTACAGTAGCGTTCCCTGTGAAAGGATGCTCTGTTTTGGCCTGGAGATGCCTGGAGAGAAAGCCTCTATTACAGCATGTTTCAAACAAGCTGACTTGCAACACTTCCTGGTATATCCATTCATTACTGTGTCTTTGACTGTAAAACCCGGCCTCCCTCTCTTCTCATTTGTAAATTTAAAGTAAACAAAAGAGCATCAGGCTCCTTCTGTCAAGCCAATATGATTAGCTAAAATGTCCCTGCCCACCTCCCCAACAACAGCTAACAAAGAAGTTTAAATCACGGAGGCTCCAGGGAGAAAAGCACAAAAGGCATGTCAATCCCTTTACCCCTACTTGCAGGGGAAGCAGAATGAAGATGCAATTTTGGAAGTCAATTCTCAGACATCTAGGATAAGTGCTTTCTGACTGGCACTGTTTAATTTCCCCCCAACCTGGTAACTGCCAGGAGCACAGGATTGGTAGTCTTTGTTTATATTTATTAAAGCTCAACCTGAGTATAAACAGTGATGCTTTCACCACAGCAGCTAGGAATCTCTCCAACAGAAAGAGTTCTCATCTCTCTGCATAGTGAAAAGGAACCCTCAACTCCAACACATCAAGCCACTTTCTTGCATATATAAGGACAGTTATTAACCCCCCATGCTTGCAAACCCAGACAGCTGGCCAAGCCCTGACTCTCTCCCCTTCCTCTATCTTTTGCATTTAAGCCTGACCAAGTGCCTTTTTCTTGAGGAGACCTGTTCCCTTTATGCTCATTTGCTACTTAAGCCCATCCTCTGCTATTGCCCCAAAAGCCTTCCATGTTGCTTCCTTCAGATTCTTGCCTTGAAACTTCCCCAACCCCACTGCAATTCTACGTAAAGTTCTTAATGAATGTGCTAATGCCTTTTTTGACTCAATAAAATTAACCTTTTATCTTTCTTTCTTGCCCTTCTTAACCTTTGGGGTGCCAAATTCTGGAGTGCACCCAAGGTCTCAATGACAAAAGACACCCCCCCCCAAAAAAAATGGGATGTCAGGGTTGCATGTGAGAAATGCAGGCTTCTGTGCAAACTGCACGTTTCATAACAACGGTCAAACCCAGATAATGCAAGAAAAGCGGAAATGTAAGATTAATGTAGGGTGAAGAAAGAACATGTTTATCCTAAATAAATAAATACAAACACCGACAGCATTAATTACCCTAGCCTTAAAAATGTACCAAAGATACAATACGACTATCTCGATCAACAAATACTTTTGTAGGATTTAGGACTACCAGTGTAACATCTG